TATCAGCTGTTTGGACTCTCATTCTGACGGCACCCATTCACTGCAGAGCATCCATTGCTGAGACACTGATGCAATGCTACATTTCTCCAAATCTGATGAAGAAACAAACTCATCCACATCTTGGATGAACTGAGCGTGAGTGAATGTTCAGCAAGTTTTCATTTTTAGGTAAACGAATCCTTTAAATTAGCATACTTTCGATGTTGAGGAGTTGAAGCATTGCATGTTTGCATCTCTCTTCCTGCTGTTTTCTGCTGATGAGGTCGGCTGAAGGTTGCATCATTGGCCTGGCTTCTGTCCGTCCTAATTTCCTCTGCTTGACCTTTGACCCCCAGGCTAGAGCTGCAAGTCTGTCTCTTTCCAGCTCCTGTCAGGTTTCCCCTGCGGCTGAAGAAACACATCAAGCGGCGGTGTCGTTTCCCCCGCACCTGCTGCACTTGTCTTTCAGGAGGTGACTTCAGCTCTGCAGGCCGCCGTTGGTTGTCACCTCTCTGTGATTAGGGTCACACCGCGCGACCTTTGGCTGCCGTCATGGAGGGTTGAGTATCGGTGGAGGGATGGGAAGGGCAGCGCGGGGCTCGTGCGTTTCGACGCCCTCAAGCTGCTGCTCAGAGCCGTTGTCGCATTTGTTCTCAGAGCTTGCTGTCCTCACACACATTCTGCTTGAATAGATTTATTTTCTGTTCTGTCCTGCAGCACAGGCGGTTTTCTGTCTGAGGGAGGTTTTATGTTTGATTTTATTGTTCACGAGGCGAGTGCCGCATTGAAATTCCCTTGATTTTCTTCACCACAAAACATGCTGACTCCTTTCAAACTATGTTTCGTTCATAATTTTAGTCTGTTTTTGCTAAACTGCTACTATTTAAGACATTTTTTAATAAACGGAAGGTTTGTCTGTTCAGGAAATAGTTCAATTCCGTTGTTTGAAAATCTTCCATTGTTGTACATTTATAGAATGTTCGTGTTTCAAAATGTAACTTGACAGTGATGATGTCACAGTAGCAGTTTGAATTCTGTTGGGACTTCTTTCGTGCATGTTTCTGTCTTCTGCATGAGAAAACCAATCACAATTCAGTATGCAAATTACTGAATTGTGATTGGTTTTCTCTCGAAGAAAACAGAACACAGAATGCAGGCTTCTTGAGTTTTAAACTGTTTACGTTTACGTTTCTAACTTAAACTACTAGTTTTGTTTTTGTCTGGTTGAGACAGAATTTGGTTTTTCAGTGAAATCTCATATTTCCATGTCGTCTCCAGTTTCACAGTCGATGTGTCCTTCAGGCTGAGATGCTAGTGGAATATCATATTCCCAGATGTCAACCCATATTCATTAGCCGAGACCTCATTTCTTAAAAAAAACATCTGTCCAAGTTTATTTAAAGTCAACATGGATCGAAATTTGACCCTGTTTACTTTATTTAGACATGGTCTTGTTGTGAAAGATTCATCACTGCACGTTAATCTAAAAATAATGTTTGTCTTCATAATCTTTCATGAAAATTTAATAGCTTGCTCTAACACATTTTATTTGTGTACTTGTTTCTCTCCTAAGCATCATAGAGAAGTAGTAAAACGGTCATGTAAAATGTTTTGCACCGCAAGAAACCTTGACTAACATTACACTACCATTCAGAAAGAAATTAAAACTCTTATTCAGTGAGGATGCATTGAATTGATCAAAAGTGTCAGTAAAGACATGTATAATGTTAACAGTTGATTTCTATTTCAAATAAATAAAGTGTAGCATGGTTTCACCAAAAAAAGACACTGTTTTCAACATTGATAATAATCAAAAATATTTATTGATCAGCATATTAGAATGATTTCTGAAGATCATGTGACACTGAAGACTGGAGTAATGATGCTGAAAATTCAGCTTTGATCACAGAAATAAATTACATTTTAAAATATATTCACATAGAAACCAGTTATTTTGAATTGTAATAATATTTCACAATTGTACAGCTTTTACTGTATTTCTCATCAAATAAATGCAGCTTTGGTGAGCAGAAGAGACAAAAAACACATATACTTTTGAACACGTGTGCATAAGTGGACTAGTTTCCCCATTTCATTTATAGACCTTTACTTCTTTTGTTTATGACTGATGTATGTTCATCTCAGATTGTCTCATCAGAGAAAACACAACTGTTTGGCAAGTCGTGCTTGGGTTTATCCTTTCTGCGTGTTTCTCGCTCCGTCTCTGTGTGTGTCAGTCTGATCATTACTCACGGTGGCAGATTTCAGGAGAACAGAGGAGTCCGGCTGTGCCGCGGCTCTGTGTGAAACTGACCGCAGACGTTCGCTTGTGTCCCTGCGACCGGCCTGAAAAGCTCTGATGGGATCCGAGCCAACAAAGAGAAGCGGCTCTCAATATGCTGTCGGCGTACGCAAACCAAAAAGTGTGGTTTAATTTTTTTTTCCCCTTTGGTTTGTCGTTCTGAACGGAATGAAATACACACTCGATCCTGTTCCGATTATAAAGCTACAAAGCGTGAAACCGGAGCAGAGAGTGTATCTATCCCGACCACCGAAAGCACAAAGAGCGTTTGAACGGATCCTCTTAGACCATCATTGTGGCCACAAATGGAAATCTGGTGAAAGATGTCAACTGTAAAGAGAGTGCTGGTAACGCGAGCATGCAGATCATCCCGTGAGAGTTGGGAAAGGCTGGGAATTGTTTTTCGGCTCAGGCAAGGACATTGTGAGATGACTAGAAAGGATTCGCTTTACAAAGAGAAATTGGAAGGTGTTTTGTGGTCGAAGCGGCTGCTTTGAGTCACTCGGTTAACCTTGCTTTGCTCTCAGCAAAACTTTATAGCTTCTAAATCAAGGCATCATGGCATAAATGATTATTAGTGGTGTTTGCTAAGTCAATCTTGAGGTTAATGGTGTGATGAAACCTCAAACACACAGTATTAAAGTTCAGCGTGTGTGTCGTCCTGCGGCGTTTGTGCAGGAATGAGTTCTCAAATCAGGTGTTGTTATTTCACTAACTATTATTTCAGACGTGTCAGTCGAGGGTTTTTGCACCAAAAACATATATAAGATTACATAAACCCTGCAAAAGGCTAATAATTACTGTAAAGCTTAATAGTTTCATTAATAGCTTTTCAGGGCAGTACTAAATAAAAAAAGCAACATGCAATTTTTATGATCCCTCGTTTTGTAAATTATTAATAGTTTGCAGATTCTGTGACGTGTGTGTGAACATTTTTCACCCTCCCTCTGAATTAAACAGGCTTTTGTGCCTTTCTGTTTAAGACCTTACAGTGACAAACAGTTATATGTAGAAATACATAACTCAATAAAAAATTAGATTCTTTTTTAGTTAAAGGTGACATATCATGAAAATCTGACTTTTCCAGGTTTTAAGTGCTATAATCAGGTCCCTGGTGCATCTACCAACCAAGGAAACGTGAAAAAGATTAACCCAGTAACTTTGTTTTGGGAAGCCTTTTTCTGCAAGCGTCTGAGAAAACAAGCACGTCAGATTTCGCTCCCCTAGTGACGTGGCAAAGGGATCTCATTATAATATTAATCTGTAAGTTTCCACCCACTGCGCCGTCATTTGATTTCGCAAGCGACAACGGTGTACCAGCTCTAATGCCATGATGAAAGTTTGAGCAAAGCATGCTAACTGTTCTGTGTTTGGCTGCACAGACGAGCACAGAACACTGTTTAGAGTCCCAGCCTCAGAGGAGACAACAGAGCAGTGGATTTATTGATTTATTTAATGTATATTGCTGCTGCCAAACAGATCTAAAATAAACATGCGATTTATTTCCCAGCAGTTTACCTTCACAGACATAACCAACTGTTTTTGTAACTCGTGTGTGTTTTTAACGTAAACTTGTGTGTGAATGAGAACTTAGTTTAGTACTCACATGCTGTGACAGCCGCTTTCTGTCCGTGTGCTTCAGATGTGTGCACATTTAGAAAACCGTATATCAGAAGTTTAAACTCATATGGTTTAAAACGCATGATTTCAGCACGATAAACATGATAACTAGAACCAAAACAGATGTTTTTAGCAGGTACAAGCTGTAATGGAGCAGCTCTATTCTGGAAAAGGGGGCGGGGAGCAGCAGCTCATTTGCATTTAAAGAGACAGGCACGAAAAACAGCGTGTTTCTGCATCAACTCAAAATAGGCATTTTCAAAATGATATAATAAATGATCTGTGGGGTATTTTGAGCTGAAACTTTACAGACACAGTCTGGGGACACCAGAGACTTATATTACATATTGTAAAAAGGGGCATAATATGTCTCCTTTAACAGTTTGCATAAGTTTGCAAATCCATTGCAGTGTTTATGCCTATTTTATGCGAATTTTATGCTTATTTTTCAGCATCTCTCTGAATTAAACAGGCTTTTTGCTTTTCTATATTTAAGACTTCTTTATTTACAAATAGATTTCTGATTATAATAATGAACTTGATTATGATTATGTTCGTTTAACATCAGGGTGCTTTACAAGTTATGTAAATGACATTTTTGTTATCTACTTCTTCTGAAGTGATGGTCTGTGTGAAAAACAGATCCAAATTTAAGTCATTATTTGATTAACTCATATTTAATATTGATTTGCATGCTTCAAAACACAATGATGGCCATTGCTTCTATCAAATAATGTCTTGTTAGTCTAATGTGTCCTGTTGCACATCATTTGATTTTAACTTTTTATCTCACAGTCTAAGAATAAAAGTCTGAATTGTGAGACAAAAATGTTGCCGTTACCATGGTGGAAATAAACTTCCATATTCCTGTAATTTACATGCAACTGTCATACTCTCAGAATTCCTCCTATATGTCACTAAAAGTGCACCGCTCTAAAAGTCACTGTTTCCCGCTTCAGGATCAGATAAAGCCAACAGCAAGGTTTTCAAACTGTCTACAAAGGCTGCATGTGTAATGCTGAATGATTGTGCTTCTCTGTATCTGATTGTCCTTGAGATCAAACATCAAATATGATTTTCCATGTCCTGTCTTTTTTTTTTTTTTTCTGTTGCTCATTCTTAGTTCTAAAGTAGTTAACTAATGTTATATATTTGTAGCAATATTGGGGTATATTTGTAGCAATAGCCAAAAATACATTGTATGGGTCAAAATACGTAAGGGTCACATATATATATATATAGAAGCTACAAGAGTTTACATTAAATTAAATGCATGACAGATACTGTTAAACAAATTTTAAAAAAAAAACTGAATCATTATAAATGACCTCGAAAAACACAGACTCTTATTTTTAAATGTCTAAGCTTCACTAATGCCAGCTGCTCATTCAAACAGAAGAGGGAGATAAAATATGCACTTTTACAACCATCTACAACATATTACAATATAAACACCATAAAGTAAACATTGTCATAGTTAATCAACAGTCGACCATAAGCAATTGTTTGCAATAAATGCGTAATACAAATTGATTGAGAACTGCTCTGAAACTAGCAAATTTAAGATCTCCTAAAATGATAAGTAAGACTTCTGTTTTAAGATACCTAAAATTTCCAAAAAGCATGAATACATTTTACAGTTTGCACACATCTATTTTTAGTCGCAAATGCAAGTGAAATACTCTGTATTCATCATACTTGATTATGTGTGGATGTGTTTATCATTAATTGCATCATAAATTTGCAGATGTCATTGTGCAGCCTATTTTTAATATCTATCTTTTGTGCTGTATAGGAAGCTTTGAGTTTCATCTCATATTAAGCACTTTTATTCCAGAACATCAAAGAAAATTTAATTCCTCATGATATGAGGCCTGTAAGGAAACAATATAAAACATGACGCAAGGTCAGGCGCTCATTAGCTGCAGCTTTACACACTTATGGATTTACAGTCCTCAGTGACGTGAAAAGGCCCGTTTTTGGTGCCGTAAAAGAGTGTGGAACAGATTTGGGCTGAAATGAAGCACACGTCACTCAAATGTTTAATGGCGGCAGCATTAAAGACGTTCACACTTGAGCTGTTTTAAAGGGTGAGCGTTATTGAGAGGGACTTTATAGAGCGGCCACATAATTAGATCTCACATAAAACTGCTGTCAGTCAGAGGAGCGTTTGAGGTTTAAAAATCAAAGGACATTTTTACAGTACAGTATAGCTGAATATATCTGCACTTTCACTGATTTATATATATTTGTATGGATATTATGGGTTTTAGATGTTGACCAAGTTGAGATTGAAATGAAGTAATGTTTTCTCCAGGTGCTCAGACATATAAATATAGATCTATGGATATTAAATAAATATTATTATTATTATTGTTGTTATTGTTATTATTACTATTATTATGATTATGCTTTCAGATAAAATATTTAACAAGTACTGCTGGTTAAAAAACATATATACAAATTACAATATGTATTTATTTAAAAAAAGTAATTACATATTAAAATTACATATATCATATTTTATTTTTATTTTTATATGTAATACATATACAAAATTATATACTTAAATATATATAGTTTTTATAATTACTAGGCTTGTGATCAGGTTGTTAGGAATCTTCTCATAATCTTAAATCTGTCTATAAAAGTATTTTATATCATTCATATGAAAGTGAACGTGAAACCTAAATATCATATATATATATATATATATATATATATAATTAATTTGTTTTAATTTTAATTGCTTTTCTGGGCTTGCGATCTGGTTATGAAGCTTTGTTAGTTCACTTAATCTCAAATCTGTCCATAAAAATAATACGCTTCAATCTCATGTGTGTGAAATATGAAACAGATTGCATATGGATTGTAATTATTTTCCTTGAAAGTGAAACCTACAGTAATCCATTTTCTCCCTAAGCACCTTAATAGATAGTTAACTTCCCCTGTTTGTGTTACATCATGAATTCAGAGCTACGAAACAGATGCAGATGGTCGTAATTAAAGCTGCTTCGTTTGCCTGAGCTCGTGCAAAATTGATGGCAGCACACTTCAGATGAAACACTGCCTTCATTTTATAATACAAATACACTGAGAGGTTAAATTTCACAAATATGCCATGCAAAATTAAGTGGACGATGTATGATTTTCATAAATTAGCTCTGAATGCAATGCTTGCATAATATTACAAAATATATTGTGTTAAAATTTCTGAAAATGAATGTGAGCCAAAGAGAAAAAAGTTGCAGTAAATTCAAACTCCAGTATAACACAATTAGAACATATAATGTGATCGGTGGCATAATGAAGTGAGTTAGAAAACCATGTCAACATCCTGCCTTCACAGTCGCTTCACACTAATTACATTTCCGTTAAAAGTTCAAAACAGCACAGATAAGAAAGTGCATCTACATACTCATTTAAACACTTTACTGGCTCGTGTCTGGTGAGGAATGTTAGCAGATGAACACGAGATCCAGCAGTGATTGACAGGGATCGTTCTGGAACATTGATTTAGATCAATACATCTGCTTAACCAATCACATCATTCCTTCCAGGTGTGACACCAATGACATCGAGAGTGTCAGAGTGAAAATCTCCCAACACAACTGTGATGATCAGATCTCACACAGGACGTATTTTATTAACAGAGCAGTATTGGAGAATAACAAAGTAGGCACTGCTAACTTAAGTACAACTTTCAGTTGCATGCAGTAATATTATTGTCAGCTAGAACATTTTTCATTTTCATTTAGTTTATCCTGTACTAAAATAACTAAAACTGAAATAAAAATTAATCAAAACTGTATTGACAGATGAAAACAACTAACAAAAATTAACAAAAATGACAAAAAAAAACACAACAAAAAAATTAAAAATTAAAACTTAAAGGGGTCACATGATGTTGCTAAAAAGAACATTATTTTGTGTATTTGGTGTAATGAAATGTGTTTATGCGGTTTAAGGTTAAAAAAAAACATTATTTTCCACATACTGTACATTATTGTTTCTCCTCTAAACATGACGGTGGCGGCAACAACAATACTACATATACGTTACGATATAACGAATAAAAGTTACGCCTTCTTTCTTTGCGTGAACATTTGGGTGGCATTATGCAAATCTTCCCACATAGTGAGGTAGATATGTGGGGGCGTGTTAGAACGAGCCGTTTTAGGTAGGTGTGGCTAACTCTTAACTTTTATAAAGAATATCTCTTTGGATTTGAGACTTTAGTCTTTGCAACTTTACAGATCTTCTTTATGCACCAAGAGCTTGTAACACTCCAAAGAGAAAGGAAAAATTTTAATCGCATCATATGACCCCTTTAAAATATATATTATATTAGTATAATAATATATAAAAACAAAATATTTTAGTGTAATAAAATTTTAGTTAAATACTGCTGTTTTTTGTCATATACAGTAAATTAATTGTGTTTATTGTAAATTTGTGTATTAATATTTTAGTTTTGATGCTATTATCCTAATTATTTTGTGCCAGATAAATACTGCTCTTTTGAAATGAATTATGTAATCAAATAATTACATAAATCAATGCAAGTCACTACAGGCAAACCCATTGTTTTCATGTACTTTTTCTGATCAATTTTGAAATTTTATGTGTCCATAACTAGACTTCTTTCAGATTACTGGAAAGAAAACATCCAAAGTACCCTTTCATTTATTTATTTTGGTTTACTTGATTGCATTTTATCTATTTGTGTCTGTAAATTTAGATTACATTACATATATTTTTAAAGGCCGTTTTCTCAAAATGAGTTTTTTCACCACTTCAGCAGCACTTACGTACACCAAAATTTACAGTTTTATTCATATCTGTATTCTGAAGGTTTTTGTAGAAGGGTTTGTTCATATATCACACACCTGACAAATATTTAACATTTTAATCCTAAAAATAGGGCGAAAATGTTGTTGGCAGTATTTGAAGTATCTCAAGTACTGGAATCAAAACCATCTGACCATCCATACAGCACGTAAAAACATTTTACAGGGTGTGAAAACAAAAAGTGATGTTTTTACGTGAGCTGCATTTTCACACACGTTGCACGAACAGATCTCAACTTTATGCGTAGACAGAAATTGTAAATGCACACTCGTTTATGTATGTTACTGTTATTATTCACAGTGTTGAACGTAAACAGCTTCACCTCAGTATCTCTCCACACTAACCTACTGCTTTTGTGTTTACAGCAATTTATGAAGCATCGTGTGAAGCATACAAACACAAAGGAAACACGTCTGGCTTTTACTACATCGACGTGGATGGAAGCGGCCCCATCAGACCTCAACTAATCTACTGCAACATGTCAGGTGAATCTCACGCAGCGAATCCGAAGTGAAACACTCCGTAATTGGGACTTTAATCCACAGCTTTTGATCCTTCACGCTCCGTGTCACACCCCGCGGAGGAAGTCATATGTGACACTCGAGGAAAAACACACTTTAGAAGAAGCAGACAGATCAACTTTTGAGCCGTCTGTGCAACGTTCACTTGTACAAAAAAAGTTTTAAAAGGCTTTTACAGCCTGATGCCACAGAAGAGGCTTTTGAAGTTGTATGGCTCTTTAGAAAACCATCATGTCACCTTTGATAGATCCTCACTTCTTCTTTGTTAAAGTCAATGTGAAATCCAAATGGACTCTATTGACTTTCTTAATATACATTGCTAGTCTTACCTTGCATGATTCAGCAGTGCAGTTTTATTCTAAAGAAAAAATATTTACTTAATAAGTTTCTTCGTAACCAATTCTAAAATGACTTTCCTTTTCTTCATCCAGTCAATTCCCCATGGTTACATATATATTTTCTCATTCAGTATCCTATTTCACATCAGTGTTATTTTAGTATTATTAATATTTTGAATTAGATTTATTTTAAAATCGTTTTCATTTTAGTTTACATGGTGTAAACCTACAACTTACATTTATTAGTATATAGTATAATCGACATATAATTTTTTTACTATTTTGAATTAGTTGAATTTTTGAATTTTTATATTTTCAGTTTTAGTAATACTGTTTTGTGTTTGTCATTTGTTTTTTTTAATTATTAGTATATTCTGTTATAGACAGTATTATAGTATTTATCAATATTTCATATTGTTTTTGTATTTATATATTTTTTGTTTTCATATTAATTTTAGTCTAAATTTTAATAATATTAAATATATTTTAATAATAGTATTAAATAATTTTGCCATTTTTATTGGTATATACTGTTATAGTATTAATATATTGAATTAGTTTTTTTTTTTTTTCAGTTTTCATTTTAATTTTAGTTTATTTTTCAGAATTATTGCTGTGTTTTTGTCAATTTTATTAATACCTACTTTTGTATACAGTATTATAGTATTATAGTATTAATATTTTGAATTAGTTTTTATTTTTATATTTTCAGGGTTTTTTTAGTTTTGGGGTTTAATAATTTTGCCATTTTTATTGGTATATACTGTTAATATATTGAATTCGTTTTTTGTTTTTTTCAGTTTTCATTTTAATTTTAGTTTATGTTTCAGTATTATTGCTGTGTTTTTGTCAATTTTATTAATACCTACTTTTGTATACAGTATTATAGTATTATAGTATTAATATTTTGAATTAGTTTTTATTTTTATATTTTCAGGGTTTTTTTAGTTTTGGGGTTTACATATTTATTTTTATTTTTTATTTTTTATTTATTTTTATTTCAGTTTTAGGTTATAGGTATATGTGTGTGTGTGTGTGTGTGTGTGTGTGTGTGTGTGAACATGGAAACACAGCATGTGTGTGTGTGTGTGTGTGTGTGTGAATTTTGAATTGGGAAGGAGGACTGGGGGTACCAAACATGATATGGATTTATACCAGCATGCGGATTTCCCTTCTTCTGAACATGTTGAATAATGAGCCCAAAAAGAGGGCTAAACGGCTAGCAAAGTACTGTGCTTTGTCCTCTATCATAGGCAGCCGTCATATATGGCGGAGACGCTGTTATTTATACCCATAACAACTGAGTGATATGCTTATTGTGAAGACCTGTTGCATGCCATTGGTCCATGATTTTGTACATGTATCTAACTGCATCTATAATATTTATGTCCTTGTAAGTTATTTCTCTTAAGTGGACTTAAATAAATTGTTAAAATGTGTGTGTTTTTGTGTGTGTGTGTGTGTGTGTGTGTGTGTGGTTTTATTTCCATTAAGGTTAAGGAAGAAAAGTTATGAATAAATTTTGTTGAGTTAACAATTTCTGACATCACACTATATACAGTAAGTAAAATGGGTTGAAAATGTAATTTCATGATTTTAACAGAGTAAAACCATTATGAAGAACCTAAAATGAAACATCAATAATCTCTAAAGCAACTCAAGAACCCAATTCAGCCCAGAATGGCTCTTAATAAACATTCTTCGAACCCAAGAGCCTGTGTTTATGATTGTTTAGTATATATCGCATGCTTTAGGTTTTTTAATGAGCATCCTGTGACCTTTTAAAGGTCACGTGACTGTTGCACAACATGAAATCGACGGAGCTCTGAGCTAAAACATTGTGCACGTGTGTCATTTTAGCATTTTCATCGGTCGAATCCCTCTTTTCCCTGCAGATAAAGCATGGATGGTGATCCAACATAATAACACGGAGCTCACCAAATTAAAAGTGTCCTCCGGGATAAATCAGCATTTAGCCCACTTTAACTATTCCGCCGACGTGGAGCAGATCCAGGCGATAATTACCCAGGCGGAGTACTGCGAGCAGGAGCTCTCCTACCACTGCAAAAAGTCACGGCTCTTGAACACACCAGGTAAGCCCTTTTTATTAGGAATATCGATCGCCCCCTCCCTATGAAAGGTCAGGCTTATTAAAACCTCGCTCCATCTGCAAAAGCATGACGCCTAAGCAAACGACTCAAACTGATTGTTATGCTCTTTGTTACGGACATTTCAGTTATTTCCCTGCTTTTTTTTTCTGCATTAAATTAATTGAAAGTCACCTTTAGGGTAGATTATTCATGTGCATTTGCACCTTTGAAGAGCTCTTATCATGTTTGTTTGTGTGGGTTTGTCATGGGCGGTTTGGTTCGGTGTCTAACGCAGGGTTATAACGGGTCTCTAGTCTCTCAAATAAACATGAAACATCCGCACAAATGGTAATTACGTCCATTAGTTGTCACATTATCAGAGTTCTTGATGAGACAGGGAGAACACGGTGTTGGGCGTAAATAAGAAATGTTGGAAATGTCAGATAAACATTAATGAAAATAGCATGCTCATCACGATTAAACTTGGACTGATGCATGCGAGACTGACGAGATCTCTTTAACATCTAAATGCTTTCTCTCAAACAGCAATGAGATGTAAAGTAGAGCAAACAGAGATATTTTCTGCTTCTCAGGTGTTTCTCATGAGAAAAAGACCTCAGTCAACTCACACATCATCTCAAAATGACTTAAATTGTGCTCATACACTACCGTTCAAAAGTTTGGGATCAGAACGATTTTTAATGTTTTTAAAGGAGTTTCTTCTGCTCATCAAGGCTGGATTTATTTGATCAAAAATACAGGGAAAAATGTAATATTGTGAAATATTATTACAATGTAAAATAACATTTTTCTATTTTAATATACATTAAAATGCCAAGATCCCAAAGTCCGCTACCAGAACTCAGAGCTCTCAAACATTTCTCATCAAATTCAGGGTCAAATGATCCGAACAATTGATTGATTGGTGTTTTTTTTCTTTTGCAAAACTGTAGAAGAAACATCTGAGACGAAATTGGTCATTGAAAAATGACAGAAAACTCACAAACAGTTAATCTGGGTGTGCTTCCTGTCATGTTTTTCGGTGTCTCAGTGTGATTGTGTAGCGTCAGACTCATGATCGCCGCTGTGTGTTTGTGTTGTTGTTGCAGACGGCGCTCCGTTCAGCTGGTGGGTGGGCCGGTCGGGTGAGGCGCACATGTACTGGGGCGGCGCGGTGCCGGGCAGTCAGCAGTGCGCCTGCGGCCTGCAGGACAACTGTGTGCATCCCGAACACTTCTGCAACTGTGACGCCGACAGCAAAGAGTGGTGCGACACACTCACATGTCAGCAACACGTCCGGCTCATATTACAACCTCAAACCACATCAGAATAAGACAATATGCTGATTTAAATAAAATGAGGCCTACTTTCAGGAACATTGGGATGTTTTTGTGCATTGTAGCATTTATACCAGACATTTATACCCTTTAAATTCATATAACTAATGCATTGAGATGTTTATGTTTTTCAAACAGTATGAATCAGTCTCATTTAAACTTCAGGTGCAAAAACAGCATTAGAGCTGGTAAATTTGATTCATTTCTCAGAATCAGCTTAATCAAATGAATCTGATTTAATGAACTGATTCAAATCTCTGATTCGACTATTCATTTGTGTTATAAAATGTTCACAGTTTCAGCAATGCACTTTCCACATATTAAACTATATATTTATATATTTTTATGTATGTGGGTGTGTGTACAAGTTTTTCTACACTGGTACACTTCTACCTGAATACACACCGACTCATGGGGACTTGTGTGACCGTGGGGACCTAAATCGAGGTCCCTATGGGTACAAAAGCTTATAAAACATACAGAATTAGTTTTTTTGAGATTGTAAAAATGCAGAAAGTTTTCTGTGAGGGATAGGTTTAGGTGTAGGGCGATAGAAAATACAGTTTGGTGTGTGTATAAACCTTATATACTTATATATAGGTGAATACTGATGTTTGGTAATAGGTTTTACTTTTTTTGTTACTACAGTAGGTACAATTTTAATCTACACCAATTGGCAAAAATGGCTGTTTAGCTGAAATGATCACTCTTTTAAGTCATTGTTTTTACATTATTTATTCTGCATTGTGGAAATTGGAAAATGTGATGAAAAAAAAGTAAGTTGCAATATCATCAAAAGACCAAAAATAAAAGGAATTTATTAAGATGCCATCCTGATGCAATAAACAAATTAGGTTTTACAATTTTGGATCTCTTTTTAACTTTGCTTTTTTGGAAAATGTTCTTACAATGCAATGCATAGCAAAAACAAAAAAAGCTAAAGATATTGAGTTATGTTTATGTATTAAATATTTCATACCTGACCCAGAAGTACTGTTATGTTTTTAATTAAAATATAAAAAAATTGAAACAATAAATGCCATAATTATGCAATAAACAAATTAAGTTTTACAGTTTTGCTTCTCTTTTTACCTTAGGTTTTTTCTGCATTATTGGAAATGGAAATGCACTTGCAATGCAAAAAAAATTAAATAAATAAATAGATAAATAATAGATGATTTGATTAGATTTCTTTGGCAGGTCAAATGACTCCGGGCTGCTGTCCCATAAAGAGCATTTGCCGGTGCGAGCGCTGACTGTGGGTGACATCAACAGATCTGGTTCAGAAGCGGCCTACAGAGTGGGACCCCTGCAGTGTTACGGTGACAGTAAGTACCGCACTAATCACACTGTGAGCGCTTACTCTGTCAACCTGTCAAACCCTCCGGCGGTATATCAGCTCTGGATTGGCATTTCATGTGCTTAATGAAAACCACAACGCTGTTCCATGCTGCTGTAAATGTCTTTTCCAGATAACTTCTGGAACGCTGCCTACTTCAACAAGGAGACGTCGTACCTGCACTTTCCCACGTTCCACGGGGAGCTGAGCGCAGACATCTCCTTCCTGTTTAAGACCAGCTCTTCATCGGGAGTGTTTCTGGAGAACCTAGGGATCAAAGACTTCATTCGGATCGAACTGAGCTGTAAGTGCGTTCAACCTTCCGGTTTATTCCTCTGCAGGTGAATCTCACGAAAACCTGACAAGACATTTCAGCCCGAAATAGGAACTTTTTTTTTTTTTTG